ACTGAGAGCGTATGCACCAAAGACAAATTCCTTGTGTGTCCAATCACACTTGGCCAATAAAGAGTTCTATTCCATTCCATTCTATTCCATTCCATTCCATTCCATTCCATTCCATTCCATTCCATTCCATTCCATTCCATTCCATTCTATTCCATTCCATTCCATTCCATTCCATTCCATTCCATTCCATTCCATTCTATTCTATTCTTAAAACAAACTACAATATCTTGGAATTACAGTAAGGACTTTCCTGGAGCAAATTCTAAACTTCCTTATCATACTAAGTCAAGGTCACATGGAATGAATTCTGTAGCGATCTATCAGTCACAAACAATCAGATTGATACATGTACAGTATAAACTAGCTGCTTCATTGCTCAATGCCTATTTCACAGCAATCTTCCCAGACTGGCAATTGCCCCTGGGAAAGGCTAGATAAGGTTCAACAGCATCCAAGAGGGTGTAGAATTTGCCCTCTTGTCTCTACTTAATGATTCCAGACTGACTTCCCGCTTGACCCCTCCTCCCAACTGGGACAGTCTCTCTCGAACACAATCGTGGCCCATCCAGCCCAACTGTTCACCTAGAATGAAACTTTTGGCTATGTTCCTCACCACTACAGCTTTTTCGCAGGCTGGTATCCTTCTACTGCATTAGTGGAAAAGTCCCATAATTTCAACCCACTTTAGCTAAAGGGCAGCAATTGTAAAAGCTATGGGTCAAGATACCCAGAAGCACGCCAGCCTGGAGAAAGCTGAAATAAAGACCCTCCTATGCAGCTGAGAGAACTACCCAGAAGATTTTTTTTCCAAGCCACCCCACCATTCATCCCTGAAGCTGCCTTGTTGCCCCAACTCATGAGCAAACAAGCAGACATGCATAGTCAGAGAGAAGCTGGCCTGCACTACTAACCGGGTTACTAGCAGAAATCAAAGGCAGATTGCAGGCTTCGGCACGCCGTTTCCCCAGAGCCAACTGCGTGAGGAAGGCAAAGAGGCAAGGAAGCTTGAGCTGCTTAGCCATTTCCACTGTCCCATCCTGGTCAAAACAGCCCATCTCCAGCTGCAAGATCTCTACAGGAACATGGTTGAAGGCTACAGGCACACCATCCGATCAGGCACACTTGATTTCACAGAGGACCAGCTCCCACCATAAAAGCAAACCCACCGGAAGTGCGGAGGCTGCTTAGCTCTTAAATGCAAAGAAGGTTAAAACAAGGCTTCCTGCTTGCACCTTTTCTATACCGCGGGTTGTGATATGTAAACTTCAAACACCTCAACTCTCTCACGTCCCAGTTTTATCTTTTATTTAAGACCAAGCTTCTACCCACAACTTCAGCGATTTTGCTTCCTGAAAGAGTTTATTTCCTCTCTAATAACAGCAAGGTTTAGTCATTCATTTCAGGATTAGGCAATGGGATAAACTTTGGCAGTGGTTTAATCTCTGAGCTTGCCGTTTAGCTCTCGAACGTTTCGTTACCAGGCTGGGTATCGTCATCAGTGGGACTTGTGGTCGAAGTGTCTTGTTCTACTCCTCTTTAGCTTATATATGTCTTGTGTGGCAGAGTGGTCAGTTGGTCACATGACTGGCTTTTCGTTTGATGCTTTATTTAAATTCTGAGTTGTTGTTGATTGGTCGTTCGAATGGCCCGATTTCTTACATGTTCGTATGCTGGATCTAAGTCAATATGCTTGTTAATTGGGATGCTAAATGGGATCCGGTCCACAATAGAAACTGTCCTCATTTATTGAATCACATTATGGCATGCCGGTTTGACAGCTGTGGACACCACAGAAGGTGGTTTTGAGCACAGCACAAAACATCGTGGACTGTCCCCTGATATCACTAGATGAGACCGCTAGGGTTTGCTGCCTTAGAAGAGTGAGGAAAATCCTCAAGGATGACTCACATCCTGGTCACCACTTCTTTATCCTCCTACCATCGGGAAGGAGATATAGAAGCATAATAGCCAGCCGCACAAACAGGCTGAAGGACAGTTTTTATCCATGGGTTGTCAAGACTCCTGAATGCGAAATAACATCACATTTATGTAGTATGATGGACTTGCAGGGCTGGCGCAACGTGTAACATGTTCACACTGGTGCATTAGGACTGTGTGTTTGTTAATATGATTTATTGGGTTAGGGATTTTATTGTGTTGAGGGGGTGCACTGAGGGAGCTCAACCAATCTCCTCTTACATATGTTGTGCACTGACAATAAAGGTTTGATTTGATTTGATTTGATGAACTGTTATGATGGAATGGAAGTCAAAGTCGTCTACTCTAGCTCCATTTTAATTGGTTTTTTTCCCCCCTTTTAAATACCAAAGCATGGGAAGTTGACATGCAACAAAGCAACGTGACAGGCAACCACAAGCATCCTGTATGTGCTAACTTGACTGCCTGAGACTGTTCCAATGGCACTTGGCATTAGAACAGGTGATTTCTGGTTGACACCGTTTTTTCCTTTTTTTTTTTTTAAAGCATGTAAGTGGTACTGAAAACTCTCTGAGGGCCTCAATTGTTGTTCTCAAGAATGCTTCTTCCCTTCCCCCATGGCCACAGAAACATCTGCAGAAATAAAAATAATACAAATAGGGAACCATGGCAGGATAGACCAAACATGGGCAGATCATTCAACTTCTTGGGAACTCCAGTTTCCCCTTTGCTCTTTTAAAAGAAGTCTTTTTCTATTTGTCGATTGAAGAAACTAAGCTTAAAATAATGTGGGCAAGACCTGGAGTTCTTCCAGAACTAAGGTAAACTGCCCCCGACTGCTTCTGTGTATCTTTTCAACCTTAATCCCGGTTTTTGAAGGAAAGAAGGAAACATGGAAGGAGGCGTGGGTGGGCAGGAGATGGACACAAGAGGAGGAAGTTCACATGAGAGCCTCCCCACAAAATTCTGTGCTGTCCTTGATGCTCTCTGAGCTTGGTGGCCATCAGGCTCAGAGGGTACCAAGGACCCCACAGTTCAACCCTGAACTACAAATATTCTCTTCTATGGGTACCATAATGTTATGTTGTGGAGTGGGCTCATTGGATGCTCCCAAAAACATCTCAGGAACCAGAAATCAACATTATATCTTGGCACATCTAGATCAGTATAGAGGAAATATGGCTGGGGAACGGAGGCAAAGAACAGCTCTGGATATCTTAGAACAGTGATGGCTAACCTTTTCTGGATCAAGTGCCCAAAGCGTGACTTACAACCATTCATTTAGTGACCATTCGAAATTACAATGGCATTGAAAGAGCAATTTACAACTGTCCCTTGCATTTATGACTTCACAGCCTCCCCATGGTCATGTGATCAAAAATTGGGCGCTTGGCCACCGGCATATATTTATGATAGTTGCAGTACCCTGGGGGGGTCATTTGTGATCTTTCCAGCTGGCTTCCAACAAGCAAAGTCAATGGGGAAAGCCAGATTTGCTTAACGACAACCATAGTTCACTTAACAACTGCAGTGATTTGCTTGACCACCATGGCAAAAATATCATAAAATTGGGCGAGATTCACTTAACAATTGCCTTGCTTAGCAACGGAAATTCTAATCTCCCTTGTGATCCTAATTCAAGGACTACCTGTAAATCAGTGAAGACCTTAGTCTTCCCCCAGACCAGTAGTAGGTTGCTACTGGTTCTCCCTGGTTTGGGCAAACCGGTAGTGGCAGCGGCAGGAGGCTCCGCCCACCCGCCCAGACGTCATCAAAAATGCTCTGTGCATGCGCAGAAGTGCCACATGCACGCTCACGAAGCAAGCGCAAGCACCTGTCGCTCCTGGTAGCACCGGGATTTGAAACGCACTACTGCCCCAGACTGTTGGGTAAGCCATTCCTGGGGTTCCGGTTCTTTGTTTTTGAGTTGCTCCAAACACATTACATTATTTTTACATTGTCTTTCAAATTGTCTTTATTGTTGGTTATTTTTAATTAACTGTTAACCCAGGGGTCTCCAACCTTGGCAACTTTAAGACTTGTGGACTTCAACTCCCAGAGTTTAACTGGGTTAAACTGAGACCCCTGGGTTAACCAGTCAGAATCACGTGTTAGGTGGGTGGCCATATAAAGCAAATTTAAGACCCACCTTAGTCATGAAAACCGGCTGGGCGACTTGGGCCAGTCATTCTCTCTCAGCCCAGCCCACCTTACAGAGTTGCTGTTGTGGGTAAAATAGGAGGAGGAAGATGTGTTGGATATGTTCACTGCCTTGAATTGTGTGTAAAAAAATAATAATAAAAATAATAAAAGATGGGATACAAATGAACAAATAAAAAGCGAACTAACTAAAGAAATGCAATTCAGATCTATCGTTCACAACTTGGGGTGCTCTGCTTTATTAAACAGAACATGCAGAGATGCAAAAGACAATTTGAAAGGCATCAGTTTATGGAAAGGCTGTGTGTTTGTTTTTGTTTTAATAGTTAATCTTTGAAAAGGGAACCATAATTTTAAGGGACATCCAACACCAAAGGCCCTTAAACTTATTTCTTTTAAAAGGCCCATGCTAAGATTTTCCAACAGCTAAAACCACAAAAAATTTAACATAGATCTTCTATTTTAAATTTAGCATAGCAAATTTAGCAATTGTGATCTTCTTCTTCTTTCATGAAATAATAAACCCAGATTATTAGCAATGTGCATCAGAATAGCAGATTAGCTTCATCTCCCCAGGCTGATTGGTCCTGAAAAATCAACTTCGGTCTCCTCTGCTTTGGGGATGAAGCAAGAACTTAAAATCCTCCCTCCACCCTTTTCGTTTTGCACAAATGCACCGGTCTTGTGCATTTCCAAACATGGGCTCAAACAGAGCATCAAGAGAGCCTATATAACCTCAGAAGGAAAGAATGCAAGAAGTCCTACAGTATGTTAATTCAGCTCCAGTCCAGTGCAGAACTATGCCAATCATCTCTCAGCATCCGCCCTTTCTGAAAAAGTCAGGTGCCAAACATAGAATCTTTCCTAAAAAGTGGGTAAGAACGTAACTGACTGCGTCTTACCTTCTCTGGGGTTTTCATGTCTCTCTCAATCCAAGTGGGCTCCCGCTTTGCCTGTAGAATAAACAGGATTTAGCACCTGAGCAAGAAGAAGAACAGATAGCCAAATAACTTTTCCCCAAGATGTTAAGCTGAGCTCTATTCCCAAATCATCAAAGAGGAATAAGCCATAGGTGAATTCCTGTGGTTTTCAGATCTGGCTGTGTGGTGCAAAGTGCAAGAACTGTTACATATTAAGCTTCCATTTTTTTAAAAAAAATATCTTTATTAAATTTCAAAATCAAGCATTAATATATAAACATAAAAGGGAAAGGGAATAATGGGATAAGTTAAAAAGTAACAAAAAAATTCATTAACGAAACATGTAACAATAGTGACTTCCGATTTTTTTCAATAGAGAAACAATAATACAACCTCTAAGTTTAAAGAATAATACCAATACTTAAAATATCATAAGATACCAATGCTCAACATTCCAAAGAACTAATATTCATAATGCAGTCTTGTCTTAATTTTAATTCAATATGTATTGTCAAATATGGACAACTATATAATTTTAAATGCACAATATTTCTCTGGTGACATCAAATCTAATCCTCAAAATCAAAAGTCATAAGTCATGATTTTTCTCCTTGTCTCGTAAGAAATCTAACAGCAGTCTCCAAATTTTAAGGAATATAGCCCAAATACAGGTAGTCCCTGACTTACATTCACAACTGAGCCCAAAATTTCTGTTGCTAAGTGAAACAACTGTTAAATAAATTCTGCCCCATTTTCTTTCCACATTTGTTAAGTGAATCACTGCAATTGTTAAGTTATTAACATGATTGTTAAGTGAATCTGGCTCCTCCGTTGACTTTGCTTGTCAAAAGGTCGCAAAAGGTGATCACATGACCCCGGGACACTGCAATCGTCATAAATATGAACCAGTTGCCAAACATCTAGATTTTGATCACGTGACTATGGGGATGCTGCAATTGTCGTGTGAAAAACATCTTTAAGTCATTTCTTTCAGTGCTATTGTAACTTTGAACAGTCACTAAACAAATGGTTGTAAGTTGAGGACTACCTGTTTTGTCTCTAAACAAGGCACTCAAATTCACCATCTTGCCTAGCAGCATTAGTTTCAAACTCCATTCTTCTATTGTAGTCTACGCTTCTCTCTCCATCTCTGTGCCTTTAGCAACCTTGCATCTTAACTTTCCATTCTGAACATGACATTTCTGGTTTGTATTCAGCAGATTCTGACAGGTTATGGAGAACCGGTAGTGGAAATTTTGAGCAGTTTGGAGAACCGGCAAATACCACCTCTGGCTGGCCCCAGAGTGGGGTGGGAATGAAGTTTTTGCAATATCTTTCCCCCAGGAGTGGGGATTTTGCAGTACCCTTCCCCTGGAATCGGGTGGGAGTGGAGATTTTGCAATATCCTTCCCCTGCCACGCCCACCAAGCAACACCACGCCCACCAAGCCACGCCCACAGAACCAGTAGTAAAAAAGTTTGGATTTCATCACTGGGACCTTCCATTGTTTTCTTCCTTGCTAGAAATGCAGCTTGAATCTTACAACCAGAAGCTGTTAAGCCAAATAGAGTCAGGGTAACCACAGATTAAAAAAATCAAGATGACAATCATAACTTTGCAGCTGCAAATCTGCTTGATTTTTAGGTAGGTTGCAGAATTTTGATTGCACTATTGCTGCTGTTGCCATCTTGACAATTTTGACCATACCCAGCAGATAATCCTGCTGGGCAGAATCCAGAAGCTACAAGTGTTGGAAATAGGGACTCAACTAGATACAGTTTTCTTGTCTGGCTATAGGTCCTATGAAGCCACTTCACTATTTGTGAAACCCTGTACACAAAAAATGGAAGTAAATACACCCCACCCCCGACATTAGACAAATTAGTTGCCATCCTTGGGGGGGGGAGAAGAGTTTTTTCTTCTAATTGTGGAAATTCACATATTTGCCATTTACAGCACAGAGAACAGAGAATTCCAATTTGTTTGTTTGAAGCAACTCATTCTTTCACAGGCAAAAATATTTCTACATTCTAACACTGGGGAGGCAAGGCATATTTTTGCCAAATTCTTCAGGTTGCAAAACATCCTTGGCTGTTCCAGTCTATAGTATCATTGTTATTATTACCAAAACGAAAAGTCATACCAAAAGGACTCGACACGTATTTGAGTAAAATGCTGGGCATGTAAATTACATTGTGAAAAGTGTCCACATTTCTGTAGACAGTGGAAAAATGCATAATCCATTCATGCATAAGAATTTCCTTATGCAAATAGAAGCATTCTTCTCTCTCATCCCCCACCTCAACAATTTGGAGAGGAACCACCTGGGAACACGAGTGGAAAGTAGCAGAAATGTATTCTAAGAATTGTTAACTTATGTTTCAAGAGAAGAGATTAGCAGAGCACATCATTCTGACCAGCAGTCAAAAGACATTATGAAAACTCCTGAATCTCATAAATTCGATTTCATTGAGGGCCGCATCTGGGTTGTGTTTGACCTCGGGTGGCCGAGGTGGCCATGGCCAGAGTGGGCGTAACCAGCTGACATCACTTGTGTCGGGGGCGTCTTTGGTGGCCTGAGTGCTCTACCAGCGAAAACAGGCTCCCGAGCTGTTTCTGGCTGCGATGGCCTCCTGCAACCCTCTGCCAGTGAAAATGGAGCCCAGGAGGGCCACACACTGCCCTCGCGAGCTCCGTTTTCAGCAGCAATGGCCGCCGTTTTCGCTGGCAAAGGCACCGCGGGCCGGTCCTTTGCTATGTCCAAGGTGGCCCCGCGCGATAGATCTAAGTGCCCAGTGGGCTGGATCTGGCCCCCAGGCCTTGAGTTTGACACCTCTGGAAACCATGGGAAACTGTGAGCATCCTACACCAAGCTAAAACCAAAAATGCTAGGGAATTCCTGGAAACCTGGCATATAGACAAATCAGCCATCAAAAGAGATAATAAGAGATAAATCACATTTACCTACCACTTAAAAAAAATTTAAAAAGCTAAGAAGGGAACAAAAAGACCAAAACACATTGTATTCAGCAACCAACACCCAGATAAGCAGGGATTAACACCAGACAAATAATTAAGCAGAAAACTGAAGTAGTCAAGGGACCATACCCCACCAAAATTGTCAGGGAAAACTACTATATATAAACAGGGAGTAAACGCCAACCCACTAATACTGATATTATCTAGTTGGATAATGAAATATCTGCAAGCAAACAACCAAGCGCAGAGAGCATCATAACAAATGTTCAGCTCTGTTAATGGGGGCAGAAAGCCAATTTTTCTAACGAAGCAGAGGTAGAGAAGAATCAATTTCACTACCTGCATCTAATCAAATTTACCACTGTTCTATTTTTAAGTTTCTGAAGAATCTATTTAATAGTCTAGATATCTATGAAAAAAATTCCCCAAATGGAAAATACTAGTTGCTTTGTACTATTTATGAGTGGGAGGGAGGACGGCAAAGATGAGGTGATAAGGAATTGCAACTGCTTTCAGCCACACTTGTAATCTATTTATGAAATATTTCTCTAACCTGTGACTGTCAAGCTGGCCTAGGAATTATACAAGCTACTTTCTGACCACACCTGAACATTTCAAGTTAAAGAAGACAGTATTACGAGCATCAGGAAGAAGCAATATAAGAAAACTCTAAGGATTATCAATAAACTGGTACAGGGTTCTATCTTTCCAGTTATAGATAAAAATTCAGATCATCTTCACAACACCCAGAATATCCTGTTTCCCCAAAAATAAGATCCAACCAGAAAATAAGTCCTAGTATGATTTTTCAGGATGTTCGTAATATAAGCCCTACCCCAAAAATAAGCCCCAGTTAAGATTATTTCAACTAGCTGGGCTGGCTTGAGTCAAATTTTAAACTGATTTTAAATTGGAATTGTTTTAATTACGGCCAAAAGATTTAATTATTTTAATCAGTTTTTAGATTTTGTATGTTTTGTATGTATGTCTTGTTTTATTTTGGCTGTTCACCGCCCTGAGTCCTATATTGGAGAAGGGCGGTATAGAAATTTAAACAAATAAATAAATAAATAAATTGTCAGCAGACGGAGACATTTAATACTGTATTTTCCCCAAAATAAGACCTAACCAGAAAATAAGCCATAATGCGTCTTTTGGAGCAAAAATTAATATAAGACCCGGTCTTATTTTGGGAAAAACACGGCATCAGAATTCTCACTCCACTGTCTCAAATTCTAAGTATTCTAGTAAACAGATCTGCCTTAGGGATTCTTTAAGATTCCCAATCAAATATGTTTCAGAATTCCCAGGCATTCTGGCTTTAATTGTAAAAAAAATGCTGAATAATGTATTCATTACAAATTTCCCTGTTCTTCTCATGCAGAGCTGCTTAACCATCAGTGTGTGAACTTGGATGGGAAAAAATGCCTTTATTATACTAGCCTCTAACTGAAATTTAGCTTATTATTGATTTAATGGATTGATAAACACATCGTGTATTTTGTTTTTGTTTTTTTAGTATTTTCATAATTGTTAATTCTTTAACATAATGTTCCAGGGACAGGAACTTGTCACCCTTTAAGAGATGATGACTACAACTCCCAGCAGCTGCAACTGGAAGGGCCAATGAAGAGGCTTGCTGGGAAATGTAGTTGTTCTCTTTATAACTTTTCTTGTTGCACCTTTCACCAATAAATAACACATTTAGGGCAAAGTGAGCAATTCTTTCAATGTGACCCTGGCGCTCCTTCCTCATTAGTGTCAGACTTATTTGCAGGCATAGGATGGTATCAGGACAGTGGGAATGTAACATGTACCATGAGCTTGATATTAAGCTAAGCCTCAGAAGTACTTGGGAATTAACCAGCTTTATTTTTCACCTTGTATGTTTACTAATCTTTTCCAAAGAAATTGATTTTTTGCTTTTTAGACATGTTTCATTTCCAGTTTAACAACAACTGCATCATTTCCGGACAATGGATTGTATTTCAGCTTTAATTAGAAAATGGTATGATGAAAAATGCTTGTAGAAAATTCAAAGCTATGTTTATTAA